AATTCATTAGAGTTCGTGGTCCGATTGAGCAAATAACTTTTTTCAATTAATTAATCTTTTTGCAAGGAATCGGTTGAGATAAAAAGTCAGTGTCACGAGCGGGATTCGAACCCACGACCCTCGGCTAAATACGCGGCTGCTCTATCACTTGAGCTATCGTGACTTCGATCCACTCGGACATAAAACATAAACTTTAATGAACAATCGAAACGTTGGCAAATTAAAGAATTGAGCACCACGCTGTTTTCTGTATGACTGCACTTCCCACAACCCAATTTTATTAACTTTAAGTTTATAGTTAAATAACAACATCCGAAAATTATTTGTCTTTTGGTAAAATTAAAATATTTCTAAAATAGGCATGTTACAACATCGCAATATAATTTTTATCCTTATTGAAGAATTATTTAAAGAAAGACATTTGAAGATTTTCTTTGGTTTTCATTCATACTCAAAGGATCTCATTCATACTTTAAAATTAAACGACTTAAAATGCGGGGCGAAGCTTCTAGACAAGACTATGCCTACGACCTGTAATTTACATTCACGATAGTTCTATCATTTGTAAACCTGTTTCATTTTACATAAAAATATTTAAATCTATTTATGTTTTATTTTGTAAAATTTTAAATTGACTACAATACTTTGACTCTAAGTGGTTTCCTATTTTGTATATCAATTTGGTAATAAGACGTTTTATGTTATAATTATATGTTTTTGTAACGTTTAATTGTACCGAGAAACGTATACTTTTGCGAAGTCAGACTATATCGTGGTTCTGCTTTTGACCAATAAGTTATTGACTTAGATGGACGACAGTCACAGAGAACAATGAGAATCAAATGACTGATAACCCTTATTGTGCTTTCGAACAACCACAATGTGAGATGCGTTGAGGCTTCCAACGTGATGGATAGCTGATCCTACCTAGACAATCAAATTATTTAGACCATAACAACAAATGTCAAAAAAAGTTTCCATACTTGAATTTTCCATACGTTAATTCATGAATCAAAAGCTAATTTCGCCTGAAAAAGAAATCTCTAAAAACTTTTTAACTAGAGACTGCCAGTTTGGCTGAATACCAAGAAGAACGTTGTGATTTACAGATATTCGGTCCGGAATCAAGGCTAAATTATTAAAATGCCTAGATAATTAGAACAAAAAGGACCTTAAAAAGGAAAATCTCGATTAGATACAATCAGAAAACTTTGAATGTGCACATTTAAAAGAGCTATCTCTAAATCAATAGTTACTCCGTTCATGATACTGTTTGAGGCAGACCCCGATCTGGTAACGACCTGGTTTCTTATGTCAGGGTACATTTCTGCAGATTTCAAAGACAATCTTTTCTTTTTGTTCTTGAGTATACATATTAGGTGAGATAAATTGTTATGATCTGAGTTACTATACGAGATATAGACTCATTAGCCGACGACCAATTTAGACTGGAAATCTATGCACCCGGAACATCGTTTGATTTTTACAGCTTGATGATTCTGTACGTTGTGCCTTCTATGATGTTCAGAATGGATATGTCCCTTTTCTGTGGAAAATTATTCGTTCCTATTCGTGCTGTGGCACTACAAGTAAAATATTACTTGTCCCAGAGGTTTTAAAGGAACAATTTTATACTTACTCGTATAGTATGTTTTAAAATGAAAATATTGATTGATATAATTGTTATAGTTAATGCCTCCAAATAATAATAATAATATATGATAGAAATAAAAATTTATAGTATTATTACTTATTTTTTAGAAAATAAATCAAAATAACTTAATTTTTATATTTTTTTTATTTAAATGTTTTTACTTTAATCGCAATTATTGGAACTTGAAATAAATTTCACTTACATAAAAATAAAAATACACTGACAGGCAAAAAGTTCCACCCAACTGATTTTTTTTTCATTTTCTCATTGTTTTTATCAATACAAATTTGTTTATGCTTTGTTTTAAATTGGGAATATCAATTAGACTTAAATACTCTTAATCCTTAATCCAAACAAGGATAAAGGGTTTTTCAATGTTTAATTTTTACGGAATTGAAAATAATAATAAACTGTAATAAATAAGCAATAAACTGTTTACTTTTCATCTTTGTTTTTCTTAATTTCAATTTTTAAACTTAAAAATGCTACTTAGTGCTGAGGATGTTGCGCGGGGTGTGGCTCTTATTGATGATGGACGTTCCATCAGGTTTGCGGCTATTGCCATGGGAGGTCCTTACGAAACTCTGAGAGACCCTGTCAGACTTTTTCGAGAAACTGTCCTACCATAGAAAACCCGGTTCTGGATGCCCTTGGGTAACAGAACCACAGGATGATCGTTTTTTGACCTTGAGAATTTTGCGAAACCGGCATCGTACTGTTGTTCAAGCGATTCATCAGCTCCAGGAAGTTCAAGATGTGCAAATTTCTGAACGCACTGCTCAAAGAAGATTAAATCAGTATGGACTGATGTCTTATCGCCCCGTAAGAAGTCCAGAATTGACCAAAACATACAGAGTTGCACGTCTCGCATTTACTTGAGAACACAGCCATTGGTCTTTGGGCGACTGGTCTGCTGTACTTTTTACAGATGAATGTAGATTTGCTCTATAATCTCCAGGTGGGCGTGAAAGAGTGTGGAGAAGGCAAAATTAAAGGTACAAAGCCTGTAATTTTTCCAAGAGCCAACCTTTTCTACGTAGCTCAGCGATGGTGTGGGCGGGAATTTCAATGGAGAGTCGCAGAGAGTTGGTTGTTGTTCGTGGAGGGTCTTTGGCGTCCACTCTCTATATGGATATGTTGCCTATCCTCGATTAAATCAGCGACAACCTTATTCTAATGCACGATAATGCCCGTCCACATATCGTTCGCCTAGTACAAACGTACCTTCAACAGCATAACATCAGAATCTTAGCCTGGCCTGCCTTGTCTCCAAACTTGAACCCCTTCGAACATGGAATAACCTCAAAAGACGAATAAAAGCACGTCCATCACTTCCGGATACACTCCACGATCTTGAAAGGACTCTTCCTGAAGAATGGGCTAACCTCCAGCAAAGAGACATTTCCAGACTGGTAGAAAGTATGCCGAGGTGTCTTCGAGATATAATTAAGACAAGAAAAGGAAATACGCGATATTGAAATGCTAATTAAAAATCTAAAACAAAATTAAAACAAATTTTATCTGTCCATCTTTTTTAGACAAAGACTGAATTATAATTAAACGTTAAAAAACGTGAAACTTTGATTAATGTATAAAAATAAATACACATCAAGTGGGCAGAATTTTTTGTCTGTCAGTGTATAATTCACAAGAAAATAAAATCATTTAATTAATAACCAACCATAAATGGAAAATGGAAAATAAAAGGAAAACAGATCTAAATACCTTTTGAAATAACAACCTTTCTTCTCGGCTTAGAGGCACCTCTTTTTCGCAAGTTGTGATGGTTAAGGCGAATCTACAATTACGGTAATGTTTTTGAAAAAGTAGGGGTAAATGTTTCAAAAGTACATGGAAGATTCGCAGATTCAATTATAAATGAAATCCCTGGTGCAAGCGAGATGATGGGGAATTTTGGGCATGGTAATGGAATTTTGGGATCGTATCTGCATAGAATCGGACAAATACCAACCCTCAAACTATGAAACCTTCGAAGTAGCAGAAAGTCTTGAGCATATGTTGCCAGAGTGTGAAGAGTGTCACAAAGGGATCGGTTTTTTAAAAAGGTTGATGCCCTATGGCATAAAAAGAGGTTTTTCAATATAACTCTTCTATGAAATCGTACGAATTTATTTATAGATTAAAAACTACTGTTATGTCAACCCGAAGTCTTCATGAACGGATAATACAATTTTTTGTAATCACAGCCTAAAAGAATTTTATGCGACTGGTAGTAACTGCAATAATATTCAGTAGTAGTAATGGATGATCAAACCGCAGACCTGGGTAATAAATGATAATCTATAGTAAAAAAAATTAAAAAATCGACGCGTATAGCAGATCAAAACAGCAAGAACAAACAGGCCAAAATTACCAGAAACGACTAAGCCACTGGGCACCAGTGGACAGACAGACACCAACACTGCAGACCTGAAGAGAAAACGGGCCATTTTAGTTTGGTCGTTTCCAATTAATTTAGTCCGCCTATTCTCGCTGTTCAAACTTGTTCTGTCTTAACATAAACAAACATCACCTTTAGCTCAAAGAAACCCATGAGCACCCAAATCGTTACACTACTCAAAACAAAAACTACCGTAATAAAATATTAGTAAAAAATATCTGCTAAGTAAAATAAAGCTTAAACCTAATTGTGAAGATGATGTAAAGCCGAAAAGCTAGACAGACCAAAACAGCAAGGATAGGTAGACCAAAATGATAGGTAACGACCAAGCTACTGGTTCATCACCCTGCAGACATTCTGAAGAAATCTCCGAATTATTATTCATCGTTGCCCATTATCAGCATACTTTCCTTCATTTCTGATTTAGGAATAAGAAATTGTAAGCGAACCGCTGAGATTTGATCCTATGACCGCGCCTGTGGCAAATTAGGAGGCAGATGCCCTATCCCATTCAGCCACTGGGAATGTACAATTAATTCTTCTATAACATTTTCGGCATATTCTTAATTAATATTCATGCGATATTCACATATACATTAGTTTTCACTTCTTCCATTCAAAAATAGACATTAACGATAAACCGTATCATGCGATGATGCGAAAATAAGTTAATTTTTAATAGTATAAGCCAAAACTGAAGCATTGTAGCATAATGACTTAATAGTCAGAAGCCGAAAGCACAATGGACTTTTTTCTGACGTGAACCCTGACCTATTGTGGATCCGGTTTGATCATTAACCATTGTCATCTGTAAAGAGTGAAGCATTGACAAGAATGATTATCCTCTCGGCTCGAAGCCTCCCAAGGAAGGAAGTACTCCTTCCCAAATACTCTTCCTGAAGAAATTCTCGTACCTTTACATGAATGTTTGATTTTTTTTTTCAGGGAGCGCTGCAAGACGTGCGCATCATACGGGGCGTGCACGGCTACCTCAGCCAATGTCCACAGCTGGACACGTCTTGTCCAACTTGTGGTCAGTTCTCGAGCCTTCAGGCGACCATTGAAAGCCTTTCGAATAGGCTTAGTCAAGTGACGGCGAGGGTAAGGCATATTTGGCAGTTGTACAGTCAGATGAGATTTTTTTCAATTATTATTTTTCCAGCTGGAAGCAGCGGAATCTCGCATTTCTGCGGTTGAAGTGTGCGATTGTATAAAATCCTGTCCAGTCAACGGTACAGTCAGGGCCGACGGAGCGTCGTGGCAAGTCGATTGTGATATCTGTTCCTGCGTTGTAAGTATAATCTTTAATTCAATTTGAGTAAGTATTGAAAAGTTTAATGGAATTTAACGTTATTTTTAAGAAGAAATTTCAATCTTTCGAAACATTTGGGATTGTGACCACCATTGTTTTATAAACGGTCCTGCTTCAAACAAAATTAATTTCTACGCCAAACACAATATGTCACGATTATCTTCTATGAATGAATGAATGAATGAAAAAGTACTTTATTAGATAACAAAAGAGAGTAAAAAAAAAAANCCGCAAGCCTGCCTCCCCTACGAAAAACCATAATTTTGGATTTGTTTAGGTTGACCGAAAGATTCCATTTATTACAGTAAGTCTCTAAGGCATTAATATTTTTTTGCAGGGTAACTGGTGAGTCTGACAGAATCACAATATCGTCCGCGTACAAAAGAATCTTTATTTCAATATTTCCGTAGTTATCTTCTATCATCTACTCTGTAAGCACAACTAAGTTTGTTGCGGAGCGAGGGCAAATTGGAGATGGCTAGCTCAAAAACTTCAGAACGGGCTTGATTTCACTCCTAAGTCTTAGTTTAACCCTGGGGGGTCCAAAACTAAATTTAAACCGGATTCTAGACATTTTTTCGTAATTATGACCTGTCTTGATTTCACTTATTTGCAAAGCCCGAAGTATGGAATCTTTTCCACTTCAACATTTTCAGCACAAAACGTACATTTCCATGGTTTTGTCACGAACCAAAAAACCACCCGACATAACTTTTTCAATAATCAATAGATTTGTGCATTATAAATAATGAAAAATGACAAAAAGAGGGAAAATTCGAAATGTAGGTTGAGATGGGGAGTTGGTGCCCGAGTGGATCGAAGTCAGGATAGCTCAAGTGGTTGGAGTAGCGGCGTATTTAGCCGAAGTCGTGGGTTCGAATCCCGCTCGTGGTACTGGCTTTTTCATTTCAACCAAGACCTTACATAAAAATATTAAGTAATTGAAAGAAATTGTAAATAATCTCGTTTCATTTTGAAAAATACATATTTTACATTTTAAAAATCTGAAACATTAACAATCGAGGAGAAAGAAGAGTACCATCTACCAAACATTCCACTAAATGTCGTCAAGTCAGGGTTCAGTATGGGACCCAATTATTTATACCCTAAGGACTTATATGTATACCAGAAATGTAGCTTTTTCTGCTCCCCCTTTGAATAGAATTATAAACCTGAGACAATCGGTAGATAAAGACTCCAAAATCCGGGTCCTATAGAGAGCAGGCATTCAAGTCCGGCCACATCTGGCACTTCTTGAGAGAAGATAAGTGCCATACCTCCGTAATTAATTATTAAATGAGACTTGAGGATGTCGAGAAAAAATTTTCTTGGGGTCACTGACGACTTTTGATGACCTTTCTTCTACTGCGACCTAAAATATCTATTGTGGTTTTCTTTTTTTTTCAAGCCTCGAAAAGTGCATAGCCTTTAACGTAGTTTAGCACTTTTGAGGATTCATCTTAATTTATTTCTTTACAGTCAAATTCTCCTTTCCGAAGAGGCTGTTTCGGGACCAAAGCTTTGCAGTCATAACATGCTTCCATGTCTCTGCGCCTTTATGGCAAAGACAACAGGTTTCTGATACAGTTTTTCTCATTGTTTAAAGTGGTAATTAAATATGCATTGGTCAGTAGAATGACCTACTTTTTTTCCTTAACTCTTGCCTAATGAGATAGAGTTAAGTTTTTACCTGAGAAGAGGTCACTTCTGTGACTGTTTTGCCTTGGTGGATTTATCCTGTATATGGTCATTTCTTTCTCGAACCGCTTTAAAGATGCTTTTGAGTGTGTCAATATGCAGTTCCGTCCCAATGAAAGCTGCTCCTGCATGTAGTGGGATTGAGAGGAAACCACTTTGTGAGGAACATAACAACGAGGACTGACATCCGAAGAGCGAAAGTGCTTTTTCAGCTGGGGAAGATCATATAAAGGAACAGAAGTTGGAATATTGTAGTCGAAAGGAAAGTTTGATCGATCGCGGTAATGAAAATGTTGTTGATTCTACTTTGGAAAGTATTGGCATAGACTCTGACTTTTAAAGTTAGTAGTCCTTGGTAGTTCGTACTGAAGATACATTTATTTACTTTAAGTACTTTTAACTTAACGGCTAATGTTTCTAGATTAACAGTTATCGGGAAGAAATTTATAAAATGGGAACTTTTATTTCCCTTTTATGTCTTAATCGTGCTTTTTTAAGTATGTGCATTTAAAAGTTAAATCGAATATTGAGCAAAATTGATTAATGGTTGCTATTAACAAACTTAACGGGATATTATCTTGGATTGAATCTTGTTTGCATTATTCCATCTATATGCGACAAGTCTATTTTTTTACCACCTGTTAGCCAGCACCTTTAAGTTATATTTTCAACACTTAATAAACCACAGCGCAAAAGAAATCTACTTCCGGCGGGGTTAATGTGGAATGCACGGAATGTGATCGTTTTGTAATCTAAACCTGTGATTTTTATAGTAATTTTTTTAAGTATGGCACTGTAGCATTTTTCCGTCAAATTAATATGTTTTGACTTCAAATGAACCTTCTTTTAACTTCAAATTAACCTTTCTTTAAATAATTAATTAAGTTAGACTCTATAAAACATAAGCATGTAAAGTAAAATTCTTGTATATTTGAATTTTTTTAAACCAAATAAAAATTAGCTGCATTAAAATTAATAAACTCTGATTTCCCATTTTAATAAATCTTTTACCAAAAAATTAAAAGTTATGTAAAATAAAATTTAAAAATAAAGGATTCTTTTTTACTTAGATAATTTTGCAAAAAAACATAAAATTGGTTATAATCTATAAAACTACACGAAAACTAATTAGTTACAATTAAAAGTTATATAAAATTAAATATAAAATAAATTATTCTTTTATTGGTTCATTATTTTTTATTTAATAAAATTTTATACACAGTTTATTTTATATTTTATTTAAGTTTATATCGCTTATAATTTTAATTGAAATTATTTTCATATGGTCTTCTAAGAGCCTTTTTTCTTTCTTTTTTTAAGTGAAAAATATACAGGAATTTTACTCACAAGCTTACATTTTATACCAACTCCTAATATTTCATACTTTAAAGAAAAGGAATGGGTTATTTAAAATTAAAAATGGTTGATTTGCAGTAAAAATGGTTAATTTGAAGGTTCATTTAAATTTAAAAATGCTCAATTTAAAGTAAAAAATGGTAAATTTGAAGGTAAAAACGGTTAAACTGAAATTAGGGAAAATTAATTTGACATTAAAAAGGAGGTAACTTGGTAGAGAAAAACGTTATTTTCAAATTAAAAAGGGTTAATTCAAAATTAAAAATTGCTAATTTGACGGTAAAAATTGTAATTAAAAAATGTTAATTTGAAGTTAAAAAAGATTAACTTGAAGTTACGTGTTAATTTAAAATTTGAAAAGGTTAATATGAAGTTAATAAGGTTTGTGAAAAATTAAAACGGGTCTATTTAAAGATAAAAAGATTAATTTGAAGTGCAAAATAGTTAATCTGAAGTTAAAAATGGGTAATTTGATGGAGAAATAGAATTGTTTTCAAATTAAAAAATGGTTAATTTTACGGAAAAAGGGCTAATTTGAAATTAAAAATGGTTAATTTGAACATAAAACGGTGGATTTAAATTTTAAAACGGTTAATTTGAAATTAAAAAGAGTTAATTTAAATTTAAAATGGGTCAATTAACGTTAAAACGGGTTAATTTTAAGTTAAAAGGTCTCATTTTAAATTTAAAAAATGAATTTGAAGTTAAAAAGAGTTAATTTGAAATTTGAAAAAATGAATTTGAAGTTAAAAAGGGTTAATTTGAAATTTGAAAAAATTAATTTTAAATTAAAAAGGGTTAATTTGAAATTTGAAAAAATGAATTTGAAGTTAAGAAGGATTCATTTAACCGGAGAAATTTATAGTTGTACTGTTAGTAAGAATGCTAGAAAAATGTTGAATAGAATAAAAGGATGGGCCACTTACGCCTACATTCTTTTTCTCTAGGTTGCTTCTTTCCTTCTTTTGGCTTTCAGCAATATATTAAGTTTGGTCACGACTTGTAGCTCTTCATTGTCTTTGCTAACCAGCACGGTTCTCAGCATGAGTTTTTAAAAAAAACTTTATTTCCTAAATTGCGAAAATAATTTTACCGGCTAATGTGAGACTAGGCCAAAGGTTTAAAGGGGATCCTTGTTACTAGGATGAGAACAGCTGAAAACAAGGGGTGGGTGTGTAGACCCGCCTGACTTTACTGACTCGCTGGTCATATCGACGCCAGTCTCTGCCATTTGAATTTTTCTATCATTGTAACATCTAAAAACATAAGAATTGCACATTCAATGTATTATTAGAAAAAAATTGTAATAATTTTTCCATTATTTGCGATTAAGCAAATTGACCTTGATGAATTTTTGAGCATAATAAAAAATTCTGCTCATGATAAAATAAAACAGCCTATTTTATGCATTGAACATTTAAAAAAATGTGAATTTGATGTACTCATTAATATTATTAATAGTTAATTATTAAAAATTTATATATTAAATTATTGCTAATTAAAACTGAGGATAATTTTACCCAATACTTTCCATTTCGATACTTAATTCTTAAATAGCTATTTTCATTTTTAAATTAATGCAGCACTCAGTTAATTGTGCTTTAGATAATCTGCTCCGTATAAATCGCGTGACGTGAAAAGAATTTCGTCACCAAATCGTTTCAGGGCAAAAGTCACAGAACTAAGAGTAAAAACAACTCTAGAATCAAACCGAGAAAGTATTTTACGAGTTTATTCACGAAAGGTTTTTTGATATCTTTCATATCCAGCAACGACGAGACTGTTTTTGATTGATTCTTACGAAATAAATCTAAAGAAAAACGTACATTTCTCGTTGGGTTTGGAACTTTCAAAACTACTGTTGACAATAAAACTAACCATTTATTTCGTCCTGTTTTGAAGGTTTTATATTATTGAAAGAAAGA